GTTCAAAAAACACAGTCTCACACAGTTAAAGGCCTTTAAGTGTACAAGAAAGCCAGCTTCAGGAAAACTGGCTGGGAAGAGAAAACTGGATGTTTTAGGGAATATACATTCCCTGGTTGCTTGCCCTGAAGATCTCAAATCTGGGGTGATGGAAAAGACCCCCAAGGTACCATGTGACTCCGATCCTGGGAGAAGGTGGATGCTTGATGGAGGCAGAGGGGGCTGGAGGAGGGGGAGGCCTCTGGCACACTCCTGGAAGAGAAAGCTACCAGCGCCGTCAACGGGGCTTCGGGGAGGGGGGGGTACTTCTTTTCCAAGTACTCCCCTCAAATCCCCATATTCAGAAAGTCTTCCACATACCCAAGAAGCCTTAAATCACAGTGATGAGAGCTATTAAACATTCTGTTTTACTAACATAAGCACTTCCTCCTAACTGGAATGATGATTATGTGTAAAATGGACATAAGTCAAAAGGAGACCAGAGCGAGTTCTATCTACTGTACTGCTCGTCCAAAGATAAAATTCAGGAACGAAAATGAAACCTCCCAGCAGGAGTGTGGGAGGAATGGTTTAGGTTTCTTTTATTTGGGCTAAACCTGTAGTTCTTTTCCTACGATCCCAAGGCAGGACTTTGGTCCAGGTCAGTAGATCTGTCTTTGTGGGGAATTCTTTTCCTAGTCCCTCCTCGTTTCTCTCCCCACCCCCACATTATCCAAGAAGAGAATGAGACTATCTACTGTCTAAGTCTGTGGGAGGCCAGGAGGCAGCCTTCGCCTGATCCTGTCCCGGACACCAGAGCCAGCACTGCAGCCGCCCACATGGACTGCCCCCACCAGGCCAGGGCGGCCTCCTGGGACATGCTCGAGGCCAGCAGAGGGGCCTGGGGAGCACTCCTGCACCAGCATCTGAGCCTGGTCCTTCTCCCCTGTGCTCCCCCAAGGGCTGTGCCCGCAGCGGGTGAGGCAGTGGACACCCCTTGTCTTCCCTCCACACCACACACCGGTCTGGGAACGCTGAGATATCACTAAACATACCTCATGCCTGTGAGAGGCTCACAGCCTGGTGAGTAGGACACAAGTAACAGGACCACGAGGGAAGCAGGAGGTTGGGGCCAGGACCCTTGGGGGAGGGGAGAGAGGCTCGGAGGACCAGGAAGCCGGGCCTCAAGCTGAGAGCCATCCCCTGCCCTAACTCCATCATGCGTATCCAGAACCTGCTCATGCCTCTTTTGGCAAAAAAAAAAAAAAGAAAGAAAAAAGAAAGTGGGAGTCAGTCTACTCTGGACACTCCTTGGGCCATATGCCTGAAAAACATCACCACCAGCCTGGTGGGGATGATCTGCTCCTCTCTCATGTTCAGTGAAGAAGTTCAAGGGCACAGGAGTAATGGGGAAGAATCCTGACTCCCCTGTACTGGCTGGCACCCCCAGGCCCCACCAGAAAAGTAGTTAAATGAGGAGGAGCTTTCTAAGTCTGCTTCAACAGAAGCAGTAGGGCCAGGTAGGATGCTCAAAGGAGTACTTTAATATTTGCAAATGAGGTGACCTACAGGGCTCAATTTCCAAAATATACAAACAGCTCATACAACTCAATAACAAAAAAACAAACAACCCAATCGAAAATTGGGCAGAAGACCTAAACAGACATTTCTCCAAAGACAGACAGATGACCATTAGTTACATGAAAAAATGCTCAACATCACTGATTTTTAGAGAAACCAAAGTCAAAACTACAATGAGGTATCACTTCATACTGCTCAGAATGGCCATCATTAAAATGTCTACAAACAATAAAAATACTGGAAAGAGTGTAGAGAAGAGGGAATCCTCCTTAACAGTTAGTGTGAATGTAAATTGGCGCAGCCACTATGGAAAACAGTATGGAAATTCCTCAAAAAGAAAACAAAAATTGAGGTGCCATATGATCCAGCAATCCCACTCCTGGGTTTATACCCAGAGAAAACACAAATTTGAAATGCCATTCACAACCCAATGTTCATAGCAGCACTATTTACAATAGCCAAAACATAGAAACAACCTAAATGTCCATCAACAAATGAATGAAGATGTGATATATATACACAATGGAATACTACTCAGCCATAAAAAGAATCAAATAATGCCATTTGCAGCAACATGGATGAACCTAGAGATTACCACACTAAGTGAAGTTAAGTCAGAAAGAAAAAGACAAATACCATATGATATCACTTACATGTGGAATCCAAAATATGATACAAATGAATTTACTTACAAAACAGAAACAGACTCACAAACATTGAAAACAAAGTTATGGTTACTGAAGGGGGGAGAGGAGAGGGGAGGGATAAACTAAGAGTTTGGGATTAGCAGATGCAAACTATTATATAGAGAATGAATAAACAGTAAGGTTCCACTGTACAGCACAGGGAACTATATTTAATATCTTGTAATGGAAAAGAATATGAAACAATATGTATATATATGCATAGCTGAATCCGTTTGCTGTACACCAGAAACTGACACAACATTATAAATCACCTATATTTCAACTAATAAGACCAGTTTCAAGTCACAGGTGACTCTCAGCATTAACTCAAGTGAGTTTTCAATCGCTAACACGTAAGACCTGGACAAACCCATCCTCCCTCAAGGTGGGCAGCCCAACAGTGAACTAATATGACATGGTGAGGAACAATTAATGGGCAACTGCCTGCCCTGCTCCTTTGAGTGGCTGAAGGAGAGATTAGAACATTCTTATTTACACACAAAAGGTCGAGGATTCTCAGGTAACTGAGCTGGTTGAGTTTACACTGCTCTCAGAAATCCTCCCTGCCAGAAAAGAACCAATGAGGTCAAAGCCATTCCCCTAAGCTACAAGCAGAACTGACAACCACTGGCACCTGCAAAGAACAAAGAAGCTGAATTTTTACTGCTGCTGCTGCTAAGTCGCTTCAGTCGTGTCCGACTCTGTGTGACCCCACAGACGGCAGCCCACCAGACTCCCCCGTCCCTGGGATTCTCCAGGCAAGAGTACTGGAGTGGGTTGCCATTTCCTTCTCCAATGCGTGAAAGTGAAAAGTGAATGTGAAGTCGCTTAGTCGTGTCTGACTCCTAGCGACCCCATGGACTGCAGCCTACCAGGCTCCTCCGTCCATGGGATTTTCCAGCCAAGAGTACTGGAGTGGGGTGCCGTTGCCTTCTCCGAGTTTTTACAGCAGGCCTCACTAATTCATTTAGCCACCACCTTCAGAAAAGGACTAAGACCCTTATTACCTGGTCTACCACTCCTACTCCTTGCATGTTAACTGAACCACCAAGATCTGGATTTCTTTTCCAGATAGCTTGATATGCTTGCACCTTGGGCCATACTATTCTGGGGAGAAAACTAAGGGAAGGAGAGGAAAGCCACAGCCCTGATAAGCAATGCAAAACAGAGATGGACTAGTAGGTACAGGAAAAAAGATAAGATAATTGGACTGGAATACAGCTACCCCCTCATGAGGAAAAAACTGAATAGCTAACGACTTTTTAAGCGGAACTCCACAGACATTGGGTACAACTGCACTCGATGTGAGACCTGTCAGTGCACGGACCCAGGGGCTCCACTAAGGAGACTCCCCTCCCTCTACAGGGTTGGATAGTGTCTCCCCAAAATTCATGTCTACCTAGAACCTCAGAATGGCTTTATTTGGAAATAGGGTCTTTTCTGATGTAATTAGTTAAATTAAGATGAGGTCATGCTGGATTAAAGCAGCCCCCATTCCAACGACTGGTGTCCTTATAAGGCGAGAAAACAGAGGCACAGACAGACATACCGATAGAACACCATCTGCCCACAGAGGCAGAGAGACAGAGCGATGCATCCGCCGGCCAAGGAAAGCCAAGGAGTAACATGGCCCTGCTGACACCTTAATTTCGGACTTCCAGCCTCCAGATTGTGAGAGTGCACATTTTTATCATGTCCCCAGGTTTGTGGTACCCTGTCCAACAGCCCTAGGAAACCAATACACACCTTTTATTTCACACCTGTTCCCCAAAACACCCTTCCCAGTTTCAGCCCAGGGGCAAGAGACAAGACACACAGGCCATACTTCTAACCCACCTGGACTCCACCACCTTCCAGAGCCCATCAGCACTTCTCCCCTTAAGGAGGGGAGAGCAGAGATCATATTTCAGCTGTCCCCACCTTCTGCCTGCGGAGGCACACGGGCAGGGGAGTGCTGGCTTTCTCCCCACAGGTTTTTTTTTTTTTTCCATTTATTTTTATTAGTTGGAGGCTAATTACTTTACAATATTGTAGTGGTTTCTGCCATACATTGACATGAATCAGCCATGGATTTACATGTGTTCCTCATCCTGAACTCCCACCCCATCTTCCTCCCATCCCATCCCTCTGGGTCATCCCAGTGCACCAGCCCTTCTCCCCACATTTTCCTAGTGTTGCAGCCTCTCCTTTAGATCAGTGTTTTTAAAATCTTATTCAGTCCCATCCTAGATATATTTGGGGTGTGGCATTACTACATATGCCTCGTCTAGCATTAACCTAACTGTCCTTTATATCATGTCACTACTTTTACTTAAACAAACTTATATTTAAAGGAACTGCTATATCGTTACAATAAATGGAAAATCAGCACCACTTATTTTACGTAGAGCTTGCTAGATACATGTTTTTAAATTGCACATTAAATACACGATAACTTTTTTTTTTAAGTCCGTTCATGTATCCTTTAAAATAATGTCGGGTGACAATACTATGGGAAATACCACCTTAAGGAGTAGAGTTTAGTTGTCTAAGAACTCTGGGCTCCTATGCAGAGAAATCAATTTAAGCTCCGCAGTCCCGTTTCTCATTCCCCTTCTCCCCGCGACGGTCCCAGAAGGAGGCTAAGAGCAGAAGGAAAGAAAGGCACCGGGAGTTCCTAGTTCCGACGCAGTGCGACCTGAGGATATGGAGTCAAGAGCGAGAGGGACTTTAAATACTCAGTCCTGCGAGTGACAAGGGCGGGGAGGGACTGACCTTCTCGCGCAGGGTGCAGTGGACGTCCGAGGCGACGCGCCCTTCCCACCACGGCTCATCCATCATCTCGTCTGCAGCGCCGCTCTCCGAGGCTACCGGGCTCTGAGGGCGCACCCTGAGTGGACACGGGCAACTTCAGAGCCCGCAGCGCGCCCCCCAGTTCCTACCCCGGCATCCCCATCCTCTCTTGTCCTCGGCCAGGGGCTCTGCCGGGCGCCCCCTTCTGCCCCACTCAGCGGAGGGCGGTCGCCTCCCATCCCAAGAAGGTTGCAGCGTCCCCTCCCCTTTACTCGCGGAACCTGAGGCGACCTGGAGCTCTGCAACAACTTGCAGAATATTTATCTTCCTTTTTGCAAAAGTTGCACAGAAAGTTGCAGACTCCGCTAGCTCTCCAGAGGCCCGGGCTCCGACAGCGGCCACCGGCTCGCCGTCCCCAACTCCTCCCCCGCCGCCCAGCCTTTGTCCTGCTCCCACATCCTGCCCTCCAGCAGGGGCGAAACTCACGCATCCCTCTCCGGAGGTGGGGGGCTGCGGACGTCGGGCCCTTCTCCGGGCCGAGCCGGCTGTGCCCTCGGGTCCCTGCAAGCGAAGGGGCCCCTGGCGCGGGGCTCTCCAAGCTCTCGACGGCCGCCTCCGTAGCCCTGCTCGCCCCTGCTACCGCCGCGCCCCTGTGTGCGCTCGGGTCCCGCCGCGGCTCGCAGCCTCCCGGCCGCCGGGGGCCTCCCTCCTTCGCTGGGGGAATTGGGGGCCGGGCCTCGCGCATGCGCCGCCGGCCCCCGCACCCCGCGGGGCGGGGGGCTGGGAATTGGAGTCTTTCTTTCGCCCGAGCTGGCTGCTTTTCCTGTCCGCACTCCACCCCCGCCCGGGCGGAAAGCTTCCTCTCACCTTCGCGGGGGCTCCCGGTGGTCGCGGGGACTCCCGGTGGTCTCCTGGACACCCGGTGTGCTCACGCGGGCAGCGCTGGGACCGCGGCGCCACCTGCGCGCGCCACTCGTGAAAGGCGCGGGCAGGATGCCCCCAGAAAGTTCGGTCTCTCGCGTGCGCTGTTCTAGCCTACCTTTAGTCGGTTCCACCTGTTTTTTCTTTTTAACTAGCTCTGCAATGCGGAGGTGGATGTCTAAAGGTAAAATTCCCACGGAAGCTCCCCAAACCCGCTCTTGATTATCCACGAGTCCCTGTTTCTAAAGGAGGCTCAGTAAATCAACGGATTTTGTTTTTGTGCTCCTGCAAAGTATAGATCTACTCGTTACTTTGGGAGAAAACCAGTGTTTCTGGAGGGTCAGGTGGATGGAAAGCATTGTCTTTTTAACTTAGTTTTACTTTGTTTTCGGAAAGACACTCCCTTGAATCAGCCCCTCTGATGGAACAACATGTTGATTGCTTTTTGTGATACTTTTGGAGATTCACAGACTCGTTTCAAATCCAGCTACCGACTGGATGACTTTGCCATGTTCCTTAGACTGTCTAAGCCTGGGAACCCTCATGTGAAAATTGGGAATAAAAATTGCACCAATCTGCTGGAGATACTGCATCACTAAATAAGATAATTCGTATAAAGGGATAATCCCCATGACAAGTATAAAACACTCAATAACTAGCTGCTACTAAGGAGGCTTTGGTTTCTGACTAGTTTCCTACAGGCAGGTACCCACCTGGAAAGAAAATTTTAAATCAGCTTTGATAAGCTTCAATAGGTGCTTAAAGAGAAGTTTTAGTGTTAAAAAAAAATAACCACCTTGTGAAAGTGAAAAATATCAAGGAATAAGCATTAATAAATAAAGGCTCTTAATAAAGACATTATAAAGGTTGATCAGAATAAGAAAAGTTTGAGGAAATAGAAAAAGGTGAAAATACCAACTGTACACAGATTAACTCTTTTAATAAAATTCTAACGATTGTGTGTAGATGGCGGGTAGGGGAGGGATGACAACACTTCTTTTTCTAACACTTAAAAGGAAGAATATTAATGAGTAAAGCTAAGATTTTTGTCTTTTAAAAATGAGGGATAGAGCTATATATTGCCAAATCTTAAAACATATCGCAGATCTATGATTCAAACAGTATGGTGTTGACACAAGAATGGGTGGATAAGTATCAGTGGAATAATCGAAAATTTAGAAATATATCCCACATACTTAGAAACTAACTATGATAAATGTGGCATTCACTTTTAAGGGGAAAAGGATAAATTATTCAATAAACTGGCTAGGGGAAATAAGTTAATTTGAGGGAAAAAAAGTAAAATCAGGGATTTATTTAAACCATCATCAAAATAAATGTAAGAACCTGTCAACTGACAAAACTAAAACAATTTAGTGATGGTTTGATGTTATTTATTTAAGGGAAAATAATTCATGGATTGGGAGAGTACAGTGTCTTACAAACAGTGGAACATTCTTCCCAAGGAATTTTGGGCAAAAGTGAATTTTATATGCATAATAATGAAATCTAGAAAGTTAGTACTGATGGTCCTCCTTGCAGGCCAGCAAAGGAGACACAGACATAAAGGACAGACTTTGGACACAGTGGGGAAGGAGAGGACCAGATGGGATAATTTGAGAGAATAGCCTTGAAACATATATATTACCACATGTAAAGTAGATAGCCCATCAGAGTTTGGTGTCTGACTCAAACACCTTGAGGTGATTGGCAGGGAACCCAAAGCTCTCTGCTCTGTGATAACCTAGAGGGGAGGGATGGGGAAGGAGGTGGGAGGGGACTTCAAGAGGGAGGGGACATATGTACAGGCATGGCCAATTCATGTTGACATATACCAAAAACCATCACAATATTGTAAAGTAAGTATCCTCTAATTAGAAATTTTAAAAGAGAGATAGTTTTATAGAGTGTTAGAAGGAGGAGGAAACAGGGCATGATTGACAAGGAGGTCATGTTTTTTAGGGTAGGGTGAGCCAGTTTTAGCTCACTTGGAGGACTCTGATTGCTGTACTTAGGTTCCCTAGACAGTGAGATATTTCCAGTCAGTGTGGGCTGACTTAGGTTTAGATATGTGATGTAGGCCAGACCACTGGAGTGGCTTCTACATAACGAATTAACTTTATCAAACCCAAAGAACTACAAACAAATAACAACCTCCCCCATTTAAAAAAAAAAACACAAGATAATTAAAAGTAAACATAGGTGAATTATTTCAGATGAGAAGGTCTAGAGGTTAAGGCACAGGAAGAAACAAAAGGCCAGGATGAGTATATATAGATTTGAATAAATAAACCCAGAGAATCCCATGGACAGAGGAGCCTGCGTCCATGGGATCACATAGCCAGACACAACTGAAGTGACTTAGCACTCAGCACTCAGCCATCAAATATCACCAAAAAGGCAAATGATAAACTGGAGAGAATGTTGTTAACAAATGTGACAATGGTTGATCTTACTATATAGACCTCTTGTAAATCACTATGGAAAACACTAATACCTGAAATGCAGGAATGGATGAACAGGCATGCATGAAAGAGGAAATTCAAGGGGACAATTACCATTTTTAAATAAGCTTTTTTTAAATGCTCATTCTCACTAGCCAAGACATCAAACATGTTTTAGAAACAGGATGTATCTCTGACAAGAATTTTTTAAAGCACAATATACAGGATTGACAAATACAGTGTTGGTGGGAATGAAAATTAACACCATCTTCTGATAGACAATATAATTGTATTCAGGCACAGTTCTAAGCTGACTGGGAAGCAGACGACACAGCCTGAGGTTCCTGGGCCCTGCGTGACCCACAAAACTGACCCACATTCTCCCCTGCGCCAGGGCTTCCTCCACTTCATAATGAGCTGAGCGAGCATCTTATTCCTGGAAGGTGCCCGGCCCTCGGTTAGGTGCCTGGCCCTCAATTCTTCATCAGAGACAAAGATCGCTGTTTGCAACACTCAGCTAAAACCATTTACAGCCTTTCTGCACATAGATTATAGTCACTTTTCTCTCCAAAACCTTAGGCTTTTGCGTTTTTGTCTTTTTTTTACTTTCACTGATACACTTGATTATTGTCTTTTATATTGAGATGCTGGAAAAGCAGGAGATAGTTGTGCCTCATCTATTATTCTAAAAATGTAACAATGAACTACCTCAAACTAAAAAAAAAAACCTTAAAAATGTATCACTGGATCCAACTATTCCACTTCTGGAAATTCAGTCTAAAAAATAAGCATATGAGTACAAAGATTTCTTTACAGGGGGTTTCATCACAAAGCTTTTCCATTATAGTGAACAGGGACTGGTTAAATATTAATTTGGCTCAAAGTTTTTTAAGAGAATAGATAATTATTTGAGAAAGTGTTCACAAGATATTAAGTGAAAAAGGAGATTAGATTATGACCCCAATTATACATTATGCTCACATACACACACTCAAAAGAAAAAAAAGTCCATAAAAACATTCAGTCAGTTCAGTTTAGTCTCTCAGTCATGTCCGACTCTTTGTGACCCCATGTACTATAGCACGCCAGGCTTCCCTGTCCATCACCAACTCTAGGAGCTTACTCAAACTCATGTCTATCGAGTCGATGATGCCATCCAACCATCTCATCCTCTGTTGTCCCCTTCTCCTCCTGCCTTCAATCTTTCCCAACATCAGGGTCTTTTCCAATGAGTCAGTTCTTTACACCAGATGGCAGAAGTATTGGAGTTTCAGCTTCAGTATCAGTCCTTCCAATGAATGTTCAGGGTTGATTTCTTTAGGATTGACAGGTTGGATCTCCTTGCAGTCCAAGGGACTCTCAAGAGTCTTCTCCAACACCACAGTTCAAAAGCATCAATACTTTGGTGCTCAGCTTTCCTTATAGTCCAATTCTCACATCCATACATGACCACTGGAAAAAACCATAGCTTGACTAGACTGACCTTTGTCGGCAAAGTAATGTCTCTGCTCTTTAATATGCTGCCTAGGTTGGTCATAGCTTTTCTTCCAAGGAGCAAGCATCTTTTAAAACATGACCCAGTGTAATCAGAGTGGTAGTATTATGGGAAATTTTAATTTGGTTTTTATTCTAGTATATCTGTATTTTCTAAATTTTCTTTAAGAAACATGTATTACTTTCACAACCAGAAAAAAAGAATGAATGCTGTTCTAAAAAAATCGCTTGGT